TGTACCGCATAGGCAGAAGACAAGCGCCAGATGAGGGCACCGTAACCACAGCTCCGATACCAAATTGCAAGGAAAATGAGCGATAGCGAACTTCAGAAATCAAACAGCATCATACACATGAGACCAGATAGTCGTGACCTCGAGCCAATAGCAGAATTGCATCACGAGTTTCACCAAATAAGAGCACAGCAAAAGCTCATAATTGACAATGCTGGAATAGTCTCGTCATCATCAATGAAGAATCAATGTCGATATCCTATCTGGCACTCGGTGCCCAGACTACAGATGGCAGATCCTATCTAGCCTAATCTACAATGCCGCCGATGACGTCAACAGCTCCCCGAAGTACGAGCAGATCTCGGCCGATGCCATTCGCCTCAAGCACCAGGTATGTCTCTCATATCTCTCACAACCTCGATCCCCAACTCACAGATGCCTCGTGCACCCAAGAACCACCATGCGCCCCATCCAGCGTACAGCAGCGCAGCTCGGCTATGGCTGCCTGCTCCTTCCAGCTTGCGTGAGCGCTGGCCAGCGTTAGCGCAGCAGCGCTTGCGCAGCATGCAGCCAGCGCCCGAATGTCCAATGCGTGGGCAGGCCCTTCCCTATATCGAAGTGGCCTGCTGCTGCGTGCGGTATGCAGTACTGGGCCCCGTCCCAGAAGCTTCCAGTAGGGCCCACGAGGCTGAGCCTCAGTCCAAAGAAAACAGGCCCAGGGCCTGTGGTGGTTACCAGCGCCCAACTGCCCTCAGCCTTTCTTTCGGTCCATGTTGTGTATCCGGCCCAGGGCCTGCCTCAGTTACATACGATGAAAGGCAGCCTGGGCCTGGGCGCTTCCAACCAACTGGCGCTGCGCAACTGCCTGAATTTTCCCCAGTTGCGTAGTAGTCCAAAGTAAGCCTCGGTCGGGCCTGCCTTCACTTAGGGAGGCCGACCTTGCTGATAACAGGGCCCAGTGGGGCTTATTGAGGCCTTGTGCCTCGCATTTGTGAGCGAAACCGCAACAGGATGTCTAGTATATATGTATAATATGTATATGGATGGAGAGAGAGAGAGAGAGAGAGAGAGAGAGAGGGAGAGAGAGAGAGAGAGAGAGGGGGGGGGGGGGGGGGRGRGGGGGGGGGGGGGGGGGGGTTATCAGACBCCSCMCCCTGTTTTTTTTTTTTTTTTTTTTCACTTCATGTCTGTTTTTATGGGCGAAGCCGGAACAGTACTTGAGTAATATTTACTTGGTAATGCTAAATGAAATGGAAAATGCTCTACACATGCAGCTGTTCATAAACAAATCAGCAGTTCAAATCCTGTTGGATACATCGTACCAGATTACCAGCTATATTATACTCAGTTCTTATACATTGTACCAGATTGCCAGTTATAGATAATACTTTGTGAAGTGGAAATGGACTGGTGTTTCTAGTTGCGATGAGAGCGGCAATGACCGGCAGATTGATTACGTATTGGCGGAGACAAATCTTGAACGAACCTTTCCGCAGTACATTCATGGTGGGCACAAGACTCGAGTTGCACACAAACACTCTGGGATGATGGGATCAATTCATTGATCCGTGATTTTCATGCTCAACCAGACGTGGTCACCGTGGATGCGTGCTCATCGTGAATCCATCCAGACGTGCTTTTGGTGCTCATCATCGGCCCTCCCTTCTTCCTCCTTTCTCCTTCCTTCTTCCCTCGGTCGCGTTCCTTCCTCCGCTGGCGTTACCTTCCTCGGCCCTCTGCCCTCCCTCCCTTCGTGCTACCTTATCYGGGAATGATATAGAGAGTGCATTCCGCTTTTCTTAGCTTTCTCAATTTGCGTTAAGGCTTAGCGCCACATTTTTTTTCCAATGTGAATAAGGGCGAGCGTGTCGCGCGTGCGGTTGCGCACAGATGCACACAGCGAGAGGTGTAGATGGATGGCGCGCACGCGCGCGCGCGCGCGCGAGAGAGAGAGAGAGTTTCCCTCTTGAGGGTGTGCAACGGGATCTTTAAAAGAAATGGAGCGATCTTGATAACAAATGGAGCGTTTACGTCCACTGGGTCGGGCGTTACGAAAGGAGGGCCGCCAGTTGAGGAAGGGGCAGGTAGGGAGTACAACGGAGGGAGGAATGGAAGGAGGTGGTCAGGTGGTGATCAGGCTGAGGAAGGAAGGGGAGGAAGGAAATTGGGGGAAGGAGGGCAGACAGAGATCGGGCGAACGAAGGGGGCGGATGAAGGGGAATGAGGCGGCCAGGCGGACGGAGGCCAGTGGAAGGTTGAAGAGAAAGTGCGGAGGAGGCCAGTAGGCAGGGGAAAGGCGGCAGAGAGTAGGGCGGAAGCAGGAGTTCAGGTAGAGATCGGGCAAAGGAAGGAAGGGGAGGAAGGAGATTGGGGGAAGGAGGAGATCGGTGCAAGTCGGGCAGAGGAAGGAGGAAGGAGGAGGACGGAGGAGATAGAGGGAAGGAGGTCAGGCGGAGATTGGACGAAGGAAGGGAAGTGAGGTGGCCAGGTGAAGGGAGGGCAGAAGGAGGTTTTAAGAGAAGGTCAAGAGGAGGCAGGGAGAAGTAGGGCGGAGGGAGGACAAAAAGCAGAACATAGTTTAGAGGTTGAGTGACGTATGGAGGAAGGGAAGAGGTAAGGGGGGGACGAGCATGTGAAGAGGAAGAGGAGGGGAAAGAGGGCATGGTGAGGTCGGCCGGAGGGAGGGAAGGTTGGGTGGGGTACGGAGCCAGGGAAGAGGTCAGGCGAAGGTGGAGAGAGAGAGAGATAGAGATAGATAGATAGATAGATAGAGA